TCAACCCTTTTGTTGAGATCACTGTTTTCCGACTCGACTTTCTTCAGCCGTTGACTCAAACTCTCGACATTAGAGAGGATGTCTTCGAGCATACAGTTGTGGTCCTGTCGTTGCCGCACATTCAACATCACTCCGCAGCCCTTATCGCACAGGTATGTGATGTCGGGATTGAACGTGCATTCGCTGGTGTGGGCGACCATTGTCTCCATATTCACGATTGAATTGCAGCCAAACTCACGGAAACTGCACTTCATTTCTAATCGGTTGAGGAAACTGTTGAGTAGTCTTGAGGCGGGTTTCAGACTCTCAGAGGTTATGTCGCGCCTATCTATCGGACATTTCGGTGTCCTAATAGTGTTTAATACAAAAAATTATTATCAATTTATAAATAAACTAAAGAACACCTAGTTGACAACACATTCATCCAGACTATATTAACCGGTACTGTAACAAGTTATCTATACTTTATAATTACTATAAATTACAGTAACTAACACCTAGTTTATAAAACACTCATGTTGAATGTTACTATTGTAATAGTGTCTTAACTTAATATTTTAATAAGTATCAATAATACAGTAGTTACTAGTTAAATAGTTACTAGTAATTTAATACACACTTTTAATTTAGTATTAATAACTATTAATCTAATTTTGTTTGTCAAATGATATCTAACTTATAGTTAAAAATTATGCAAAATTTAGTGACCGATTACCTGCGGACCCACTCCTGGATACAGTTCAAGCAGAATGTGTGCTCGCAGTCCACGATTTGTACGGGATTTTCGAGGACCCCGTAACAGATACTGCACTTCAACTCGTCATCTATTTTGGTGACAAACTTCTCCACTTCTATGCCCATATTCAGTCAATTTTTGCTAAACATTTGCTGTATTAAATCGTAGACACATTTATTGTGATTGTTTTTACACACAAATAAAAGTTTTAATAATAAATTATATTAATTAGGGAACAGTATTGCAAATAAACCAACAAATTTCTATAGAAACCAGATTAGATTAGG